TTATTCCATTATTAAAAATAACTAATTCAAAAAGCTAACTAAATAGAGCAGGCTATGCATGGACCAGGATGGAAGTGTCTCATGAACCAAGGATTATGATTAACCCAGTTCTGTGCACCTGAGGTCCAATTTAAAAAAGCAATCAATAACGAGCCTATTTAAAAGGATGGTCTGAGATTTAGATTTCTAATATGTATGCTTTTTCTTACTGTTTTTTTTTTCCTCTCTAGTCTTTTTAAACACCACTTTTTCTTCTCCATTTCAATAGCAGGGTCTCCTCATGCAGGTCAAATGAAGGTTCATAAGGGCCTTGAGCATCGGGAATCTGGTTAACCCCCTTGGTGGGTACCAAAGTCTCATTAGGGCAGAAGGAAGGTCTGGGCTGGCTTCCAGAAAGGAAAGGTGCATCAGCACTTGGACACACTGGGGTTTGGGTCGGGGTGATGGTCTTATTCAAATGGGCTGGCATTTTACACTGGACAATAGGAAAGCAGAGGGAGACCCCTATAGACCACCGCTAGTATAAGCCATGGTTCTCACACTCAGAAGGCCCTGCTTTGGGGATGGGGGACATTTTTTATATTGGCATTCGTCTGCTCATCGAACATTCACTGGGCACCAAGTGAGATGCTTTTGCGTGCTCTGGTCGATGTGCCAGGCCCTCAGGGATACAGAACGAGTAGCGAGCGCCTTTTCTGGGTCGCCCACCATGCTAAGTGCTTTGCTTGTGTTCTCTCCTCACCCGCACGGCTCCCTCCTTTGTTGCTTCCCCCATGGGAGCTCTGGCCACCCCGTTACAACTTTCAACTGCGCATCCTTTTCATTTGTGTGGCTGGAGACGCTGGGTGTAATGGAAGGGCCAAGGATGAGCTCTGAAGGCAGGCCGTTCTTGGTTCAGATCCCAGGCTCCCCACTGTAAGGCTTGACACGCTTGCTTAAGTTCACCCCTTTGAGCCTCAGCTTTCCCATCTGTCAAATGGGAATAGCCAGCCTTATCTCACAGGGCTGCATGAGACTTAAATGAAGCAATTCATAACAAGCATCTTTGATTTCTGTCACATAGTAAATGTTCAGTACATAATCTCTATTATATTTTTTTCCTTGAGAATAGGGTCTGTAAAATAATTTCTCTTTATATTCCGGTAGGGCCCAATACCTGGAACACATTCATTACCTGTCTGTTGAATGAATGAATGAGTGAATGAACGAGTGAGTGCGTGCCCTTTGAGACTGAGAGCGCATGTTCTGCCGCTCTTCTGACTTCTTTCTTGCCAGCCCCACAGCCGCTCTAGGGCAGGTAAAGCTGCCCCAGCTCACGTGGACCCACACCTCCGACCAGGCCTTTACTTCTTCTGACATCCAGTAGCTTCCTGAATGGTCCTGAGCACGCGGCTGGCTTCAGAAACTCCTTCTCCTTGAGAATCAGAGGTGCTCAAGCAGCCTTCTCAGGAGGCATCTGGGCCCCGGCCTGCACCAGCTAAGACAGCAGTGGCCCCTGTGCCCATGGGCACAGACAGCCTTCTCATTCCTGGCTTTAATGCCCAGCCCTCACTGCCTGTAAGACCCCCCCACCCTGGACGCTATTATTTCCTTTTAGGAGTGATGGAAACAGGAGAACAGGAGTATAAGCTCCAAGGAGGAAGGGAGACAAGTGCGTGGACGAGGCACCGACTCCCACTCCAGTCCTGCCTTCCTTGTGCTCTGTGAATTGACCTTTCACCTCCCTGCCTCACGAGCCCCCATCCCCTCCTCATCACTCAGATGAACAAGCCCTGCTCGGTGTGGCCCTGGATTGGGGACAGCGTCCTGGGCCAGGAGGCAGGAGGCTTGAGTGCAAATCCAGCTTCTGCTACTCACTGGCTATGGGATTTCAGACAAGTCACTTTTGCTCTTGGAAACCTCAGAATCCTGCTCTGTAAAATGGGATCTGATCACCCACCTCGAAGGTCTGGTGTGAGAATTAGCAGTGATATTTGAACGTCGGAGGGGATCTCAAAATTGCAGTTACTACTAAGGATTGTTATTCCACACATTCAGGGGCTGAGGCAGGGCGGAAAGGCCTGGAAGGTCCCAGATTTGCACATCTGTATTTTCTAAAAATAAGTATTTTTCTCATCTCCTTGGCTTGCTCAGCAGAGAGACGCTGCAGACCCCAGAAAACCTCACCCGAGCCTGTACTGTGGGCAGCCCCTGTGGATTCCGCTGCTGGGGAGCAATTTAAGAGGCAAACAAAACATGAAAAGCTACTCAGAATTAACAATGGGGCCAGACGGTAATGCTAGTTTGAAGCAATAAAACATGATAAGTAGCTTCCTGCTGCTATTCCTGATCAATTTCAATATTTAATAATTCCACTGCCACCCCTGCCCCCTCATCTGGCCCCCTCCACAGGCTCCTGCAACGACGCCCCGCATTCGGCTCACAGAGCAAACACGTCTTCACTTTCTGAAGGCGTCAGCAGAAAGCAGGCGGCTCAACTGTCACATGAGCGCCCTCCGTCCTCGAGATGATAATTCATCTGCCTACTTCTAAGACGTTCCATCTCCAGCCTCTCCTCGTTGCCAGGGAAGGATGGAAGGGAGCTCCGACGGTGGAGATGTGATAGGAGCTCTTGCCTTGTCCAATCAGTGAGTATTAGTAGCCCCTGAGTTTTGCTTTTGAATTTAAGAAAGGGAAGCAGTAGGGAGCTGGGTGGTCATCTTACTCTGGGACCAGTAGCAGGAGGAAGCAACCGGAAGGGGAGGGTGGCAGCTTGGTGTTAAAGCTTCACCCACCAGCCGCGCCTCTGAGCCTCAATTTCCTTCTCTGTATGAAAGAGATAATCGTGTCTACCTCTGGGAGGATTCTAGCCCATGCTACACGTGTCAAGTGCCGGGCAGTGTGCTCAGCATGTAGGAAACACTCAAGACTGGCAGCTGGAAGCCTCATTACCAAATGTGAAACCACTTAGCAAACGATGCCCAAGTCCCGGCACCTGCAGGAAGGGCTGCTGGTCCCTGTGGGCAGGGAGCTCTAGCCCAGGGCAGAGCCGGGGTGCGGGGCAGGATCTGGCAGGGAGCACCCTGCTCGGGATTCTCCCCAAGGGGAGCCCACTGATAAGATGAACTGTCCACGAGGGCCCCACAGGCGTTCAGACCCTCCGACACAGGGCACCCCGGAGAGCTGGTGTTGCTGGCACCCTTTACGGAGGAGGAAATGGACAGGACGAGGTGAAACGGCTTCTCGTGCTTACATCGTAGGAAGTGGCATTGTCAGTTCTAAGCTGGGTCTCCCAACCCCCCTGATTTCAGGTCCTTGCCACCCTATTGCAGGAGAAAACTGCTCCCTGAGGCTCCCCCTCTTTCTGTGTCCTTTTTGCAGGGAGGCAGCCGAGTGGAGGGTGGCCCCCTTGAGCTGCAGTTTACTCAGCTGTGAAATGCGAACGTTAATACCTACTGCACTGGTTCACAGCAGAGACGTTTAATGAGGGAATATGCATGAGAGCCCGCTGTAATTTTGTGATGAGCTGAACAAATGTCAGGTATGGTTATTATTATGGCTTTTTAGAAAAAACCCCTCTGGGAGGAAAAAGATCGGAAATTCATCCACCGAAGGCGGATCCTTCTCACCGAATCCTTCACCAGCCCCACGTGATCTAGGGCATCAAGATCGAGCTCTTTCACGTGGCGTTCAAGGCCTCGACAGCTCCTGCAACCCCGTCTCTGCCTCTTCTCCTTTCCCACCTTGCTGCAGACCCTCCAGGCTACTTGGGGTGACCTGAGCCTTTCACGTGTGTCTCTGCCTAGACCAGGGAAACAGCCCTGAAGGAGGGGGCGTGTGCCACCCTGTCCCTCAGCTGATCCCACTCAGCTTCTGCAGGAAGTCTTCCTTGGCCCCCCCACCCCTTGCTCAGGAACTCCTCTGCTGAGCTTCCTGACAGCCTCTCTGTGCTTCCCTCCATCCTAGCATGCTTCACACTAGCTACTGCTATGTTCTCATCTGCCTCCCAACTCTAGAGCCAGTTCCTCCTGCGCCTGAAACAAGTGCTGTTCACTCCTGTCTATCCGGGGCCTGGCCCCGCTTATGCCCTGGAAATGTGTGGCGAGGGATGAACCAACCAACGAATAAGTGACTGTTTCCAACATAAATGGAATCAAAGCTTTAGGCAAAGGATTCCAGCAGTGGAATTAGGATTTGGGTGGGCACAGCCTTGGGAGCAGAAGTCAGGACGGTGCTCCTGAATTCAAACTCAGCTCCATCCCTCCAGTGAGGTCTAGAGCTGATAGTGTAAGCAAGCCTCCCAGGACAGACCCTACCCCTCCACCCCCTGTCCTCCACCTGCCTTCTGTTTGTAGAAAAACTTTAGCTTCCTAGGCCTTCCCCAAGTTCCAAAGAATACATTTAATCAAAGAAGTGAGAACATGCAGAAACAAAGGAAAACAGTCAAGCAAAACAGAATAATAATAGTTTAGTCATTAAACAAAGTCAAGGACCTTTATTTCCTCCTCAAGGGCTAGAGATAACATTCCGAGCCACGTCCTTTGAGCTGTTTTGCAGATACTGAAACCTCCACAGGTGGAAGAAATTAACTGCATGCTGCCCACAAGCAAGTAGACCCCAGACGGGTTGGAACCAGAAGGTCGATGACGTTGACTCCCGATGACCTCACCACCAACCAATCAGAAGAATGTCCACGAGCTGATCACACACCCTGCGACACCTCTCCCTCACCCTGCTTTTAAAAACCTTTCCCTGAAAGCCATTGGGGAGCTTGGGCCTTTTGAGCTGCCTGGACTCCTTGCTTGGCCCTGCAATAAATGCTGCCCTTTCCTTCACCACAACTCCGAGTCGGTAGACTGGCTTTACTGCACGCAGGCGGACAGACCCAAGTTTGGTTTGGTAACGATAGGATGACCTTCCTCCTTCCCCCACCTTGACCCTTAACAAGAAGAAACAGATAATGTACCACCCATCCCTCTCTGTCCTCCCACAGGACACGGCAGAGGCCAGCCATCAGGTACCTGAATCCCGCTGGTCCGCGGTCATGGAGTTCCATCTCCTCGTGATGTCAATGTAGAGGGTGTCCACGGCGGCCATAGACAAGCGGCTGCTGCTGAGCTTGCAGTTCCTGCAGAAGACAGGAGAGGACACGTCACCGCCAGATCCGACCCGTCCTGTCCCGTCTGGCTTCTGTGCTTTTGCCTGGGCTGTGTTCCCCACCTGGAAGGCCCTCCCTCCCCACAGCTGGAACTAGTGAAGGGTGAATGGCAGGGAACCACGGGAGAGCAGGCTGAAAATGTGAGTTGAGGTCAGATCCTGTGGGTTCCTGTAATGTGGTTCATTAGGGCTCTAAAGGGCTGGGAGGAGGAGGGACTTTAGGATGGCAAGTCTTGAGTTGAACCTGGGCCTCGGACAGACCAGGACTGAAATCCCGGCCCTGATGCCTTTTCTATCTGTATGGCTGTGGACCATTTACTTAAATCTTTGGTGCCTCTATTTGCTGGTCTCTTAAATGAAGATAATAACACCCACCCACACGGCTGTCGTGAAGAGGGGATGAGGCAGGGCATCCCAAGGCCCTGGCACCTGGTTGGGCCACGACAACTGTTGGTTCCCTTCCTGATCTCTCTCTACTTGCCCTCTTGCTCTCAGAGCTGCAACCATCTAGGCCCCTTCAGAGGCTGCCTGAGGCTGACCTTTCATTGAAGGCCCTGTCCATTCTGGAGGAATGGGGCTTGCTAGTCAGAGTGTCTGGGTGAAAGAATTTAGGCTCTCTGTTCAGAATGCAGGCAGCCCTCAGCTGGTCCAGAGACACTTCCCTCCTGAACCAGATCGCGCCGGGGAGGCGAGTCCCAAGACAGGCGGGACTTGCCCTGGGAATCCCGAAAGCTAGACCTTGGGACCAGCTGTCTGCTTGGCTGAACTACACTGCATGCTGCTTTCAACTTTCCAAATGTGTCCACATCCGTTGCCCCAGCTATGATAAAGTGGTTCTTTGGTTTCCCATTTGTCATCATCCCTTGCGTGAATAGCTCCCTTAGGAACCCGAGAAGTCGGGGATTGACTGGCAAGCAGGATTTGGGCATCCCAGAGGCCCCTCTCCAAACCCATGCACACCCCTGACATGTGCCCACGTGTGCCCAGCACGGTGCCTGGATGAGGCTGGTGCTCCTTATATGACAGCATCCTCCCTCCCTCCCTCCCTTCTTTCCTTTCTTCCCTGCCTGTATTCCTCAGGCCATCAATTCACATCCTGCTTCCTCCTGGGCTCCGGCTCTGTATTTCAATCACAAGTCACAGTGGCAGACTTCAAAGCACATCAGCACACAGTTATTGAGCCTCAGTAACAACATGTCAGTGGATGCAGGGCTTTTCATGTCACCCGTCACTGAGATGGCTATCTCTATTGGGTCCTGCTGGGGACCCGCTCCAGTCTCTCCCAAGGTATATTCTAACAACCTGCACTGTTCATTTCCAAAGCTTCATTAGGAGTGGCTACGGGTTTTCTCTAATTAGCGTATCCATGTCCTCTGGACCACTTGCTCCCCACAGGACAGGAGCTCTGCCTGGCTTGCTCTGTGGGTTAATGGAGTATAAAAAGGGAAACCAAACTGACCACTGGTATATAGTTATTTTTTTTCCGACAGGTAGAAATTAGAAGTGTCAAACCTTTAGTAGGAGTCATAATTTACCAAAGAGGATTCTCCATTTATCCCTTTTCCAAAAGTAACTTTCCCTCCCTAGCGACACCTGCAAACACAGTTGATGGTAACATTTGCTACTGGGGCAGGGGAAGGAGGGATCTCTGCTGGCTGCCGTAGACAGGAAACGCTTTAAAAGAATTTTGATTCTGTAGGCACTTCTTGGGCACCATCTGTATGCCAGGCCCTTTCCTGCCCATGAGCTCTCTGGATCTTTATAACCACTTTATGAGGGAGGTGTTCTTAGGCCCACTTCAATGATGGGTAAGCTGAGACTCAAGAGAAGGGACATGGCTTGCCCAAGATCACATAGCTGGGATTCACATCCAGGCCTCCCCTGGAGGATAGAGTAGTGGACTTGGGAACTTTGGGGAGAAATGGGGAGGTGGCCCAGCCCAGAGCTTCAGGAAGAACCCAAGATTCAAGAGACAAAGTCTCAGGTAACCCAGAAAGTCTGGAGCCTCTAGAGAGGCCCTGTTGGGAAGCTTTGGGATATAAGGCTGGGGGGTAAGAAAACCAGGGTCACTTGGATACAGGTTTTCCTAGGTTTATCCCTGTGGTCACCAAACATTCTTGATGCACTCAAACAGGGAATGTCTCCAAGGGTTAAGATTTTGGAGTGAACTTTTCATCCATCCACCACTGAATATAGAATTCGTTTTGTGTGCACTACGTGTAAGTGGTATTCTGGGCCCAGTGAGTGACGCTGGGATCCAGATCAGTCTTGGATACGGCTCTCGGAGGGTAGAAATGATCTCAAAATCTGGGGTAAAAACATGAGGCCTTGGTAGCTCTTAATCATTTGAACAGTTTCCCCTTATGCTCTGGGATGCAGTTCTTCAAATGACTGACGAGTGATAGGATAAATTCTTCAGTGGGAGAGAAATCCAAGAAATATGGTAACATGAGAAGCCAGAAAGATTCCGCAGAAAGGATAGGCTAGAAACGTACATGGAAAATATGAGCTTTGGAGTCAAAGGCACATGAGTTTGAATCTTGACTCTGCTATGTGACCTTGAGCAGGTCACTGACATTCTCTGCAATCTAAATTTCCTTATTTGTATGAGGATAAGGCGACTCGCCATATAAAGCTATTTTAAGGACTAGCTCGGTGCCTGGCACATATGACAGCTCCCAGCCTTCCTTCATGAACCAGTTTAAAGAAAGGTTTTGTTTTGTTTGTTTGTTTCCAGAATCAATAGAATACGGGCACAGAGGACGGAGAGAATCACAAATCATTCAAAGCCTAAGATTAGAAAGATTTGAAATTATCATCCCCATTTTCTCTCAACAACTAGTGACATCTCATGGGAAATTTAGAAGCCAACTTTTTCCACTCCATAAAATCCTATTTATAGAATTTCTTTTGTGTTCATCCTTCTCTGTGAAAGAAAAGAAGCTTATTTTTCCTGGAGAGGTTTCTGTAAGGTGAAAGCTAACAAATAATCAATATTTGTTTAAAAACGAAAAAAAAACAACCCACTCTCTGAACATCTGCCGGGGGGAGGGAAAGACAACTTTGGTTTATAATGTTTCTATTTTTAAAGGCTATTGATATCCCAGGCATAAAAATCTCCTGATATTACTGGACAGGGGAATTTTCAAAGTCACTGAGGGGTTAATGACAGAGGAGGAGGCAGGGCCCCTGACACTTCCATTCCAGAACATTCTAACGCTCCATGCTGCCTCTCAGAGAATAACACCCCACAGCTACCCATTATGAAGCATATTAATATCTCCTTATGAGAAAAGGGAGTGGAAGGGGGCAAAAAAGGAAAAAGAGAAAACCGTTCTCTAATTTAGAAGGAGACCAGGATTAGAAACCACAAAGGACACGAGTGGGGATCTCCAAGCGGAACGGCCCAGCGTGAAGCCAACACTCAAGGTGTGGAGAAGCTGCCTCCCATTTTCTAGAAATAAAGCCCGGTTTTGGCAAAACCGTTTAATCTTCAGGCTGCGGAAATGGAAAATGCAGCATGTGCCAGTTGATGTCAAATTCTGATGTAGGATACGTTCAGAAAACGGGTTCTTAGTGAATTACATAGAAATCCTCCCAAATTAGGAATCCGATGGAAGGAAAATAACAAAAATGCATTTCCCTCGAGAAGGCTGTCGAACTGAAGAAGCAGATAATTTCTATTTCTCAGAGAAAAAGATGTCTCCACACCTCAGCAATGATTATGAATTAAAAAAAAGAGAGAGAGAAAAGAGGTGCTTAATTCATGGTAATACGTGCTACTGTTATATGCCTCCTGAGGAAATGACACGACAAGCTGGTTAGATAGAGTTAATTCTAGACGAGAGGATGACAGTTCATTATTTCTCATTTCTTGGTGGAAAAGAAAAATAGAATACGGCCAGACTGGCATTAGCATAATTCACTCCTAAAACTGCTGATCTATGCAGCACATTATGAGAGATGGTCACTGAAAATCAATTCAATCGGAATGTTTATTATTTTGTTCCCTCCAGTTCTCTTCAAGGAACTTGGAGAGAAAGAGTGGGTAGGACAGAGGAAACTCAAGTTCAACTTCTGCCGTTTGCGTGGGAGCTCAGAAGGGAGGGTCTCTAGCCAGCAAATGTGTCTCTGGCACAGTGCCCCAGAGAAGGGCACTTGGTTTGATTTAACATATGGCATAAATATTATTAATTCTTAATGAAGCGAAATTTAAACTGAAGTGGAAAGCAGAGAGAATAGTTGTTAGCAAGAGAAAACACGTGCTGTTAAATTTAGCTGGCAAGACGGAACACATTCAGATATAAATCTGAAAGCAGAGAAGATCATCTTTTACAACAAAGTTGCTGTTGGGATGTCTTGGTACATTTGAAAAGGAGAAATCTATTAACAGTTGTGCAATGTTTTCTCCATTTCTTCCTGCATCCTTAATTACTCAGGACACTTGCTGGGTGGGTACAGAGGGAGGGGAGAGGGGCTCACAGTCTGGGTCCTTCTGCTCCGGCTGCCTCTTCCCTACCTGAAGACATTGTCACTTGTCACGGTCACCATCGCTCCCACTAACAGTACTCGGCCACAGGCTGGGAATGACGGCTGCAGGACCTAATAGTCGCTAATGTCACAAAGATGGGTTTTTCATGCAAACACTCTTAATTATAGAGAACAAAGGGGTGGAAAAATCATAAAGCCTCTCACACAGAGACAGATTTGTAGCAATATTTTTCACATCATCCAGTTTCAGTCTGAGTGCATTTTAAGAATCTTCCTTGCTAGAACCACTTTCAATTATTTTCAGGAATTTTCAAGATTGTATATGAACATACCAGTCCTCTTAATATGTACCTCAGCCTCTCACACCAGAGGTAACACACCGGTGGACTCTATGGGCTGCCATGCTTTGATTGAACCCAGAATTATTTTCTGAATCGCCAACATTCAGTATATGCATGCATTGATATTCTACATAAAAATCAGTATTTCTAGCTTCTCTTGAAAAATCAAAAGCTTTGGTAATACTAGCCCGGCAACAACCTTTCTTTTTGCCACAGCCCCACCCCCCCATCCTTCTAGACCCCACCCACTGGTTTGTTTATCCTTCCTGCCTGCACCCTCCCCCCACCCCATCCTCAGGCAACTGAGACTGTGATTCTTGTGATATGTAATTTTTTTTCAAATCTCTCCCTCTCTCTTTCATTTTAGTAGAATTGTATTAGGAGTTAAAAGGAAGCATCTGACCAACGTCTTTTGCTCTTCCTTCCTTCTTCCTTTCTCCTGCCTGGAACTTGACCATGATGGCTGGATTTTGAGCAGCCATCTTGTGACCATAAGGCAACCCTGAAGCTTGAAGCACATGCTCAGGGTGGGTAAAGCACAAAGACAGAAACTGGGGAGTTGATCACATTGTGGGGTCATTAACCAGCCCTCGAAGCCCCACTGCCAAATTTCCTGTTATAGGAGAAAAAGATTAATTTTACTCTTTAAACCATTTACAGATCGGTATCTATTCCTACAAGTCAAATGCAATTCTTAAATGAGTCAGAGGGTATCACGTTAGGTAGTTTTCTCAGGGAAATAACATGTGCCTGTTGACTTTCTTGAAAATTCCCACTGCCTCATGGAAATAATAACAAAAGACTCCCATTTCACAAACAGCTCCCATAAACTAGGCAGCGGGCCAGATCCTTTATGATCTATTACGTCCCAACCTCATAACACTCCTGCAAGGTGGGAGAGATTATTCCTATTTTACAGATGAGGGAACTGAGACTCAGAGAAGATAAGGAATTTGCCCAAAGCCACACAGCTGTTAAGTAATGTGCTTGGCTCTGAAGCCAAACCCCAAAGCTTGTGCTCTTTCCATGGGGTTTTCTTTTCCCCTGAAACTAACACAAAGCCACTCTCAAAATCACTGTGCAAATACGACTTCAGGTTTGCTGAGATGGCAAACATTCCTGCCGATACCTCTTCAGGCCATCCTATCAGGAGTATCAGAGCGCTAGAGTTAGAATTTATAAAATTCACTTAGAGAAAAGCATATGACAAATGGTTTCCAGTTCAAGACTTCTAATTATTTGCTTTCATGAAAAAAAACTATGAACAGGGTGACTTTGTGTTGCCAGATAGAAATTTTAAAACCAGTGATGAGAAAAACAATAGCAACGTAGGGTGCTGGCAGGTAGTTCCGCTGAGGTGTATAACATACAATCCTAGGGTACTGATAGTTTCATCTCCATTCTACAGGACCACTGAGGTTCAGAGACTGTCATTAACTTACCCAAGGTCACACAGCTAGTAAGTGCTCCTGTACTGCCCCAAAGTATCCCAGAGGGTAGAGGCAAGTTAATGAATAATCTCAGGAGATTAAGTGGCAATGGCTTATTTTATAGGCTGTGGCAAAAACACAATTTCTTTGTCTCATGTTTTATCTTTAAAATTCATGCAAATTTTGTATTATACTCTATAATATAACCACATTATTTTTATATTAGAACAAATGTATTAAATTATTTATCAACTGAATTATTCAACTTTTCTCTCCTGAAATTGACACTTTGGAAGATGTGGCTTTGTTTCTCTGCTGTGGCTTCATAAAAGCTCAGCACTCAGCCACGTACCACTGGGAGAACATCACCCCAGTTTCAGAAGCACAAGGTCTGTCTGAGTCCAAGGGGCAATTATTCATATATGAATGAGGACCTAGCTCAAGGTAGCGCAGAATTGTTTTCTAACCACAAGCATAATGTTGTGAATGCTGTCACATCCGTAACATTCATTAATTCATTCAACAAACAAGAGTCTACTATGTGCCAGGCCCAGTGCCAGCTGCTGGGCCAATCCAACCCCAAGTGGGGCCGTGATCTGGCATCACAGACTCTCCCAGGCGCAGTCAGAGAGGCGGGACCAGCCAGATGTGGGGCTGGTCTCCACCCTGCCAGAGGAGCTGGTCTCACTGACCTTATGAAGGTACGAAAGCCTGTTGGTCCCAACTTCATTGTCCCCTTGATACCCAGGAACCGGATAAACAGGTTTGCCATCCTGTCCACCAGGCGCAGGTAGTTGAACTGCTTTGCATACTTGGGGAACACCTGCTTGAGGCAGATGGAGGGCAGGTGGGCTTCGGGATTGGCGCTGCCTGCCGAGACACTGGCCAGATCGCTCTCAGAAGGCTCTTCCTTTGAGGCTAATGGCTTCCCAAGCTGCTGAGACCTGCAGCACACAAGGAGTTAATGACAGAACCAACATTTAGAGGGGGCTTTACAGCACACAGATTGCTTTCCCTTGCAAATTCTCCTTTCCTTCAGATTTATAGCAACCTGCAGGGGGGTTTATTATTACTATTCTTAATGTACAAACCAGAGAACTGACCTCAAAGGAGTGACCTGCCCAAGCTCACACGGCTAGGGCGTGGCAAAGCCAGAACTTGAACCCAGGACAGAGCCGGGACTAGAGACTTACACTTCCTCCGTTCTACCATCCTGGCTTCCCAATATGGACAATTTCCTTTTCTGTACTCAGGACTGAAGAGAATACTCTATTATGAAGCAGTCTGGGTTTGATTTCAAACTCCTACTTATGGGTAGTAATTGAATAATTAAGAAATATAAAAATCTCATTGAGGGCTTCCCTGGTGGCGCAGTGCTTGAGAGTCCGCCTGCCGATGCAGGAGACGCGGG